GGAGGCAAAGGTTTCATTTAAGGATTGGGATTTGAAGTCATTGGAAAGTTGTTCCAGGCAGCTGAGTGTCAGCGTAGTGCTTCCCATATTATTGAGGTTTGGACTGTAAAACCTACTAAGTATTGCGCAATGGGAATTGGTGAGTTACCATCACGTCCTGCGGGTCCTACTTATTAGCTTAGCTAGGTTGGCTTCTTGAAGATGATGACTGCTAATGACGTTCTTTGGCAGCATTAATCCCTTTCAAGCGTCGCTTGTATATTTTTTCATTTGATGCTTGCATTCATTTCAAACCCACCAAGCGAAATTGATGCTTATGTCATATAGAATTTTCAAACCACTAGATGAATATGAATGTGATAGCACAAGTTGTGTAGCTATTAACTATGGGATGAGACCAATGATACCGATTAAATCAAGTGAAATAGAAACAGAAAAGAACAAGTAATAACAGTCCATCACTTTTCCAGTACTTGATCGAATTGCTGCTGTTAATAAACTTAAACAAAGCCCTCAGGCAACAAAAATCAGAACAGATCAATCCAGTAATAGTTCCTCACAAGGCAACAAACTTAATGTCTTATTGGGTTAGATACTAGACTCCTCATTGCGTTGGATTGTCATGGATATATACACCAGGGACCATAATAAAGGATATATAGTAAATGAGCACTTCCAAGAACTGACAGACCAATTGCGTGTAGAAGAAAACAAAAAAGCAGAAAAGAAATAAAAGACCTGAGAGGCGAACGTGATGGATAATTCCAGAGGTATAGTTGTGGAGGCCTTGGAAAGGATAAAGTTGGCTATAAACAAGGGAATGGCCCATTGCTTGATGAGTCAATGGGAATCTCGACATGCCATAGCGAACAACGCTTGCCACACTTTTTGGATCCAATGGTTTTACATCATCGCCTATTTGAAATTCCCCTGCAATTTTTTCGTTTCAATTAACATACTGAATTAATTGGAGTGGAAAAAAAGTACATAAAGATTTAAAAATGAAAATGATGAGTTAATCAATTATTTTAAATGTTTCATGTAAACTAATATTTCTACAGTAAACTAATAAAAAAAAAAAACAAAATATAGAATAATGTAAAAATCTCAAAAACTTATAAATAATGAAATATTCAAACAATGAAAAAATATTTGTTTTTTAAAGTCTAACTCAGTGTCACTTCCATGTCTATTATAATCTTGTGAATGTCAAAGTCTTTCAAACCATATAAGGACCCCATCCATAATGTCATAGTCTCGCATTGTAACGATTCAAGTCCAATCACTGATTCAGTAACTTTTTGAGTTAAAATCACGTGGACTTTAAAAGTTTAAGTTCAAGTTACTAGTAATAGTAAATTTAAATTGTTATATAGGTTTTAACAATCATATTCACAGCAGATGAGAACATCAAAGATTTGAGTAGGTGAGATTGTGATACACAACATTCAATATCTGATGTGAATGTGATTATTAAGACCTATATAACAATCCAAGTCTACTATTACTAATAACTTAAGTTTAAGTTTTTAAAAGTTTTAGGCCAAAAAATTGTTAGATCAGTGATTGGATTTGAATTGTTACACATTTTACAATTTACATTAACAAATTATTTTTTTAAAAATAGTTTTATTAATTAATCTCGACAACTTAAAAATGTCATTATAAGTCTAAGATTGTAACCCTCAGAGACTTCCCATGACATATCATAGGACCGTTTGGGCAAAACCTTGAACAATTGGCAAAAGATTAGTTGCTTGAAAAAGTTTCAAGACAGCTAAACAAAGATCAGCAGAAACAGGGAGCTAAGGTGGACATTAACAATTTATTTATTATATAGACCATGAAAAAAAAATTATTATACTAACTTTTTAGAGTTTATAAGATTTGGTGCATGATTTATACAATAGGGATGAATTATGACTTATCATCTCATCCAAATTAATAAGCATATTAGTACTTAAATTTTTAAAATTTTAATTAAATAGTATTTAATTGAATTAATTAATTCTTTAAAGTAGAACACACAAACATATAAAGCTTCAAAAAGTTTTAAACTTAAGGTGGTAAAAGTGGGATTTTGTTTTGTTTTGTAGAACTCTTGCATGAGAAGAAGAAAAGAAAGAAAGAAAGAAAAGCTTTTTATTTTATAAACTTTGAAAGAACATTTGTCTTTTGCTTCTCATAAAACCAGAGTAGATAGTTATTGGTGGAGTCAAGATTTTAAATTAGAGGGTTGAAATTAAAAAATTTAATATTTAAAGAGACAAAATTATAAATTTTTTTAAAAATAAAAATAAAATAAAGAAAAAATATAAATTTTGGAATTTTGGGCCCAAGCTATACCACCGGTTTTAATGCTAACAAAACAGTCTAATCTTCTGAAATACATAGGAAAATCAAATAAAAAGCTGAAGAGAAAACAACATGATCATGGTAAAGAGAGAGATCACCTGTAATCCAAGATATCCAGACTGAGTCATAGTTTGTAGAGAGAGAGACTTTGATTTGCTCAGGCTGCCAACCTTTAACAGGCCTTTGAACTCGAGGATCAGTGTCAGGCAAGTCTACGGCATGGCCACGGAAACTCTTATCAAGAGGGACTGTCACAGGCTTGAAGGGTCCATCCAGTGTGGTTGGAATAGCCCCATCGACAAAGGTTAAGCTTAGTAGAACGGAAAGAAACATTACAACATGCAAAGAAACTGAAACTGATCCCATGTCTCAAGCTTTCATGCAAGGCTAAGATACGAGAGGGAAAATAACTTTTAGTCAGGCAGAGATAAAGAGAGGGCAAAGCAGAGGTTTGTTGGAGAAAGAATAACAGGAAAAGGACAACTATCTATATACAGTTATGATGGTGATATTAACGCTCTGAGAAGCTTGAAGGTCTATACATGTATATATATAGACGAGGTTGGGGAAGCTGAAGCTGAGTTTATATGGAGAATATACATATATAGGACAGTTGAAAAGGAAGGCAAAAGGACGTTGGAAAGGAAAGCATTAATATTGAGTGAAGGAAGCTATTTGGAGATGTGTTTTCACCATGAAAATGGCTTTTCTTTATCCAAAAAGCGAAGTAAAATGGTTTTCTTTTGTGGCCAGTTACTTATATCCTGCAAAATTCTCGTTTTAAGTTCATTTTGTTATATTGTATGAAGTGGGCAATCGTTTCTTGTATTGCTAGTATTTTGTTTATTATATTTGTCTTTTCCTTTGGACTGTTTCAACTTATTTACAAGTCACTGGCTTGCCTTTGAATTAATGCTCCTTTGATTGGAACTTCAAGTCTTTAGTTGGGATATTCCTTTGGTGTTATCGATCTTATATATGGCCTTGATTACCATAAAATATAGCTGTAAATTCATTCATAGTTGCTGTAAAAAATTGGACAATTGAAGAATATTTGTTGTTTGTATTCACCGAGATTATTCTAACATTTTATAGCAACAATATAATTAAAAACCCTCTGTCTCTTCCTAAGTGCTTTCCATCTTTTTTAAAAAATTTAGTTTTATTTTGTTTTCTTTGGCATTTTAAATTATTAGAAATAATGAATCCACGAGATGAATATATATCATTCAAACAAAAAAAACAGATAAATTTTTGTTTTTCTAGTTAATTAAGTTTATTAGTAAAATTTTGAAAAAAAAACTTTTAAAAGACTCCTAAATTATTTAACAAAATTCAAATAAACTCTTATTCTTTTATTACATTTAATTAAATTATATTTTTGTTTTAAATTAAATACATACCTTTATGACTAACTGTTACTACTCAAAATGACATTTATCATTTTATATTTACGTAAAGTTGATGTGGAGAATGAAAATGTTACATGATCATATCAATGTATTACATTAATATATAACACATCATCATCTATTTGGAAATTTTAACATGCCACATTAACATTATATGGTATAAAATGATAAATAGCATTTTGATTAACAATATTTAATTAACCGTCAATTATAAAGACTTATTTAATTCAAAATAAAAATATAAAGACTTAATTAAACATAATCAAAAAATATTTTTTTAAAAAATTAAAATAAAAAATATAAAAAATTATGTAATATTAAGCTACTCATTATTTGCTCCAACCTTTACTCATTCTTACAAACCCAATTTCAAAGTCTCTTTGTCTGTACCAATTATCTCTTGAAAGCTCCTAATATATTATATTGACATAATATTCAAATAAATTCTTAAACTATTCAAAAATATTTAAATAAGTTTTTTATTTTTTTATTATATTTAATTAAGTCCTCGTATTTTTATTTTAAATCAAATAAGCTTTTATTATTAATGATTAACTAATATCATTAACAAAAATATCGCTTGTCATTTTATATCCATATGATATTGATATGACATTGATGTGAAATGTAAAAAATACCACATAATTATATTATCATATCATGTCATCATCAATTATAATATACTAGTATACCACATCATAATCAATTATGATATTTTAACATACCGTGTCAGCATAATGTGACATATAATAACAAATAATATTTTAACTAAGTTAATCATTAATCATAAAGAGCTATTTGATTTAAAATAAAAAATATAAAAATTTATTTAACTCAAAATAAAACATAAGAGCTTGATTAAACACAATAAAAATATAAAGACTTATTTAAATTTTTTTGAATAGTTTATGAGTTTTTTTGGTATATTATTCCTATTATATTACATTTTTTTTCCTTAAGTGCATCATTTTATTTTAATTATTTTTCAATTTTTGACATAATATTTTCCTTGTTAAAACTCAAAACTGTTATATTTTGGACCAGGCCCGATATAAGTATTCTCCATGGATACAACGTCCAGAATGGGCAGGCCACAGACCCAAATCTAGGCCCATATATGAACTTGCCCTCAACTATTTTATTACAAGCTCAACACCCAAATATAGGCCCATTACTAAATACCATAAAAATAAAATATTTCCCCATTTTTTTCACTCTTTTTCCTGTGTTCTCGGAAAAGAAAGGAAAGGAAAGGAATAAATAATTCCCTGAAAACAAACAAAACAAGGCAGAAAAATCCCAAAACAGAGAGAGAGAGAGAAAAAAAAGAAACTAGCCGTTTTTCTTTTGGATCAATCGGAGATCTACTAAATTTTTCCTCGAGAAATAAACTTTCCCGGTTGATCCTTACAATAAAAAAAAGGAAAGAAAGAAAAAAAAACCATCACTTTACATCTTTTTTTGAATTTTCACAAATCTTTTGGGAAAGTTTCAGAAACGAAAAAAGAAAATGAATATATTCAGATTAGCAGGGGACATGACCCATTTATTCAGTGTTCTTGTTTTGCTTCTCAAGATCCACACCATCAAATCTTGTGCTGGTACGTGCACTTTTCAAATGTTTGCTTTATTTTCTTCCGGGTTCATTTTATTTTATTTTATTTTGTATTTGTGTCAATGATTTACTGCTTAAGAATAATAAAATTGGGTTTTTAGGCTGTATTGAATGTGGGTTTTTGTTAATTTGTTACTTTGTTTGAGTTTTTGTACGTTTTATTGATAACCTAAAGTGGAATTATGTGAAATGTGGAAGTGTAGCTTAATAGAAAAATGTGACTTTTTTGTATATTGTTGGATGCAGATTTATGTACTTTTTCTAAATGGGTTTTTGATAATTTAAATGTGTATGTATTTATGTTTGACGTTTAGAAGCAAGGAAGCATGATCAGCTAGGACGTCATATGGTGCTTCTATTTTGTTGTTGGATTTAATGATGATGTTGAGAGAAAAGGGTTTCTATTAGGTGGTTTTGTGAGAGTTATGGCATCTTATTTTTGCTAATTTTCGTTCAATTTGTAGCAATAAATCTAAAGGGATTTGAAATTTGCTGTACGAACATCTTTTGACTGGGAGGTTTTATGAAGATAAAAAGACTGATTATGTTTTGTAGGATTATATTGTAGGCTACTTGTTGTTATGTCTTCGTGGCCTATGTTTGATTTTGAGACAAACATGATAAAAACTGTTTATGATGAGGGCCTCAAAATGTAACTGTAGCTGAGCCCTCAGCCCTGGGAGAGTTGATCTGGGGTGGCAATGTCACCTAACTTTAGAGTTGCTTGGTCAGAATGATTATTCTGTTTTAGACAACTAGCTTAGGGGGAAATTTTCATTTTCTGTTTTAAAATGTTACTTTGGGGTGGGGTGATGGGAGGAGTCAAGGTTGGCTAAAGTCCTTTACTTGGTGGAAGTCTAGGCAGTCACTAAGAGAAGTTGGAGATGCTATCAATTGATAATGTAGTGAGCAAAAGCTTGCCAAGATTGAGTGACCATATGCTTAAATGATTGAGATTCTATCACATTATGATGGAGTGTTTCACAGCTTTTGCTTATTAAATTACATATGCATAGAGAGCATCTCGGCCATGATAGTATCATGGAAAAAGTATAGCATGTGATGAAACTCAAATAGTGGGGATCCTAAATGATTACTTGTATTTATTCATGGGCATGCTACCGCATTGGATTTAACTCAGGCAAGATTCCCATTGGGCCTCATCTTTTCCTGTCTTATTCTGTACTTACATGGCTCCATTGTGCCATTGTGCTATTGTGTCTCTGCGTACTACATTCAGTTCTCTCCAAGTCATGTCTCATGAGCTGTTTTCTGCCTCTGAATCTTTTATGTATGATATGAGTTTCTAACTTTTCTGTAGGCATTTCCCTGAAGACTCAGGAACTCTATGCTATTGTCTTTGCTACTCGCTATTTGGACATATTCACTAATTACATCTCGCTTTATAACACGATTATGAAGCTAATATTCTTGGGGAGCTCTTTCTCAATTGTATGGTACATGCGACGCCACAAGATAGTTCGTAGATCTTATGATAAGGACCAGGATACATTTCGCCATTATTTCCTTATGCTGCCTTGCCTAATTCTGGCCCTTATTATAAATGAGAAGTTCACCTTCAGGGAGGTATCAACATCTTTCTATTTATTTGTTGGATATAACTGTGTGTTTTATTTCCATGTAGTCATTACAATCATGATGTTGTATGTTAATCTATCATCGTTAACTTAGAAGCTTTGTTAAACTGTTTATGTTTATATTAATTATTCATTGAGAAATTATGAGGTTCTGTTATCTTACAGAATATATATTTTCATAAATTGATATTTGTCTAAAAAAAATTGCTTGAGCAGGTGATGTGGACATTTTCCTTATATTTGGAAGCTGTTGCAATACTTCCTCAGCTTGTATTGTTGCAAAGGACTAGAAATATTGACAACTTGACAGGACAATATGTGTTTCTCCTCGGGTAAACTTCCTCTCTTAGATCCTAATCAGTTTTAAGTCTGCCATAATTTTATTAAGTTTCATGAAGGACCCTTACTTCCTAGCTTTCATTTCCCTATAATGTTGCCTCCTTTTGTGTTAAATTTAGCAAAGAAAAAAAAATCTAAACAGAGTTGACATCATATTTTCCCTTGGTCGCCACTGATTTTCTTTTTCAGGAAAAGCTGATATGGTTTTATGTTGAACTGAAGTTTTAGTTTTGAATGTGATTACCTATGCCTGATATCTTGCAAGTACAACTTTTATTTCTTATATTACATTTTTTTGGTGCTTTCTTCTCACTTTGTATTCTTGAACACTGTTTCCTGTATATCTATATCTGCTACTGCCATGAGTTAGGAGATGAGACAAGATTAAACCATTATAAGATTTCTAGCAGTTGTATTAAGTTGTGAAGAAAGGCAAACCAAAAGTGAGGAGCTCCCTATATCCTGTAGGAGATTGATTTGATTTTGACCTCCTGCTGCAGTAAGCATGAGTGGGAGTAAGGAAGAGTTCAAGAAATCAGTTTGTTCAACATCTTGAATTGCAAAAGAAATGTTTTGTGGAGTTTTCTAAGAAAGTGGCCAAGATCTGCAACCTTAGGCCCCATTAAGTTTTAGGAGAAGTGCAAAAAGGGTTAAGTAGAATATACATTTTTGGGGCTATTAGGGATGAGGCTGGGATGAGAATTGACAAGGGGATTTTAATACAAGCTTTTAGATTGAAGAAGTTTGCTTCTCAAAGGACTGAAATATTAGGAGCAATGTTGATTTCAAAAATTCATATCCCCTTAGCATTTAGTACTTCTGTTTGTTTATTTGTTTTTGTTTTTTTTTTTTATTATTTTGAAGAGAGGAGGGGGTGGTGGTGTTGGGGTTGGGTTAGCAAGCTTGTTGCAAACTTTTGCACTCATCATTTGACAAGTTTTTGCAATATTATCTTCGACACACCAATAACCGAACTGCCTTTGGTTTCATCTCTTTTTGCAATCTTATCTTTGACACACCATTAACCAAACTACCATTGGTTTCATCTCTTTTCACAATCATTGTTGGTTTATGTTTTGATTTCAGTTCATACCTTAAACTTCAAGATCATAGTGCAGAATGGATCCAATGGAAAATTTCATATTACCTCACTTTAGTTCCTTGATATGTATATATCTATTTTTTCTTTATAACTCATGTAACATCTTGATGGTTTATTGTTGGTTAAAGACTAATGTAATTCCTTTTATTGCAGTGCATACCGGGCATTCTACATATTGAACTGGATTTATCGGTACTTTACTGAAGAGCACTTTGTCCACTGGATAAGTATGACTCTCTCTCTCTCTCTGTGCCTGCCCTTCTCACCATGTGTCGGTGCCCATAAGGCCTTGGTGTATGAAGAATGATTGTGATGTACCTCTTTGCATGCGTTTGAGATATTTTATGTTTTATTCTAACATGTTGTCTATATGCTTTCTTGCAGCTTGGATATCAGGGCTTGTCCAGACATTGCTTTATGCTGATTTCTTCTACTATTACTTCCAGAGGTAAGCACCTCAATCACTCTGAAAAATGCTTTACACTTATGTTGATGATTGGAAAGAATCTGATTATCTTTCTATGGCTGCAGCTGGAAGAACAATGTCAAGCTCGAATTACCTGCTTAAGAGTTTTTAGCGGTGCAAGTTTGTAAGTGGCATGCATAGGTATAAGCTGGTCTGATTGATTATCGATACTTGGCATTCGTTAATTTGCCCCCATGTTTTGGGGTACTTTTTGCAAACTTGTAGGCAACAAAACTTGGTTTAATACCCTCAATACCATATCCCTTAAGAGATTCTAGTGCATATTCTTTATATAAAAGCTGATTGGATAAGTAATTTTAACCCACATTACCATACTGTGGATTCTTTGTAATGTAAAAAATTTTAAACTTATTCAAATGGTTGTGCATGTGGACTACTGAATTATTATATGCTTGTGGTCTTTTTGGGTACAACGTTCAACCGCAGCATTCATCTCGGAAGGACAAATAGAGAAAGAAAAATTTTTTGGCTGTGGTAATCACTTTCACTTGACAAGCATCGCTCGTGCATTTCAATCGTTAGTTTATGAAGAGGTTTCAAGCTCAAATATTTTAACTTTCAGGCCGTTGCATGGAAAAGGAAGAAGTTATGGTAAAAAAGATGTCATCATACCTCAGCATTAAGAAGAAAATGAAGGTTCCAACCAGTTTTCCATAGATTTTAAAACCAACTTTTAAAATGTGAGTTGTATTTTCGATCCTCCCTGTGTCACGAGTTAAAACATTTGACCAATGCCATGATCGCTACATATGGCCAGTAAATAATTCCCATAATCAGCCTGAGATGGCAATAAAATCAGTCAGACAATGAGCAATGAAACCAGAGGAGCTGATATCCAAAAGAGAAACAAATTAAGAAAAGGAAATGGATTAAAAACTAGACAAAAATCAACAGAGAGAAAAATTAGAACAAGACAAGCGAGTCACCTGAACTGAGATGAGAACCAAAATGGGAAAAAGAAACCCCAAAGAAAATGCTAGTAGCTGTCAACAATCAAATGGGAGATGCCAATCAATACGTGAGCTAATGAAACCCAACTATTTAAGTATTTTTTTAACTTAAGTTATCTCCATGTGTTATATATATTTCATATATGAATCACATATAATAGACAATTAATAATTTAATAAAAATTTATTATATAAATTTATGTGAATTTTATATAATAATTTCACGATATAAACAAATGATGATTCTAAAATAGTTAATATTATGATAATTTTTAAGACATTTTAACTGAAAACTATATCAGGAAATTGAAAAAATGTTACCTTATAGGATGTAATAAATTGATTTTTTTGGGTCAAAGAATTTGACGAATTAGTGGTTATCTACAGTGGGCTCTAAAGTAAATTGGCTTTCGAACTTTTGTCTCTTCAAATTTTTCTCAGGGTTAATTGTAATACTAATTTCCAGAAGCATTCTCAGTCAAATCTCAAGGTCTGCTACGTATCTTTATAAACCATAGGTTTGGAACATGCAACAACTTCAGGCCAAGCCAAGCTTCAATCCAACGGATTGTTCCCATTGGTTTCCATCTTTCTCATCGCTTCTTTACAAGATTGAAAAATGGGGTGCTCCATACTTCTCAGTGAACTCATCTGGCAACATTTCTATCCGTCCGAAAGGCCTGAACTCCTCATCGACTCACGAGGAGATTGATTTGCTGAAGGTGGTGAAGAAAGTTTCGGACCACAAATCGTCAGGTGGCCTTGGATTACAACTTCCTGTGATAATTCGGCTGCCTGATGTTTTGAAGAACCGCCTGGAGTCCCTTCAATCCGCATTCGAGTCTGCCATCTGCTCTTGGAACTATGGGTCTCGTTATCAAGGTGTTTATCCTGTGAAAAGTAATCAGAACAGGTTTATTGTGGAAGATATTGTGAGATTTGGATTCCCTTTTCGATTTGGATTGGAAGTTGGTTCCAAGCCTGAGCTCCTGCTGGCAATGAATTGTTTATGTAAAGGACATCCGGAAGCTCTTTTAATTTGCAATGGCTTTAAGGATAGGGATTATATTTTACTTGCTTTGATCGCAAGAAAGCTTGCTTTTAACGTAGTGGTTGTTCTTGAGCAAGTGGAAGAGCTAGATTTAGTTATTGATTTAAGTACAAAACTTTGTGTATCCCCCGTTATTGGTTTGCGAGCAAAGCTAAGAACAAAGCATGCTGGTCACTTCGGATCAACTTCTGGTGAGAGAGGGAAGTTTGGACTAACACCAAGGCAAATTTTAAGTGTGGTGAAGAAGCTTGAAAAAGCAGGGATGCTGAATTGCCTCATTTTGCTGCATTTCCATATTGGATCTCAGATTCCTTCAATCACAATGTTAGCAGATGGCATAGGTGAGGCAACTCAAATCTATTGTGAATTGGTTCGTCTTGGGGCATGTTTGCAGTTCATTGACGTTGGAGGTGGTCTTGGCATTGATTATGATGGATCAAAATCGAGTAACTCTGATGTTTCTGTTGGTTATGGGCTCGAAGAGTATGCTTCAACCGTTGTCCAAGTCATTCAACAAGTATGTGATAGCAAATCTGTTAAGCATCCAGTGATCTGCAGTGAAAGTGGTAGAGCTATTGTCTCCTACCACTCGATTGTCATTTTTGAAGCCATATCTTCCAGTGTATCGGATTCTCCAGGTCTCAATCCTGAAGGACTGCAGCATTTTGTTGAAGGGTTAACTGAGGATGCTCGTGCAGACTACTCAAATTTATCTGCTGCAGTAATTAAAGGTGAACATACCGCCTGTCTGCGCTATGCTAATAAGCTGAAGCAGTATTGCTTGGATCAGTTCAAGGAAGGTTCCATGAATATTGAACAGCTTGCCATTGTTGATGAGTTATATGATATGGTCTCCAAGGCAACAGGTGCTTCCGAACCAATTCATACTTACCTAGTGAATCTTTCAATCTTCAATTCTGTACCAGACTTTTGGGCTATAGGGCAGATGTACCCTATTGTTCCAATTCATCGACTCGATCAAAAGCCAACAGTTAAGGGGATTTTATTAGATCTAACTTGTGATAGTGATGGAAAGATTGATAGATTCATTGGTGGTGAATTGAGCTTGCCACTGCATGATCACAGGGAGTCCAGCACAGGGCAATATTACCTGGGTATCTTCTTGGGAGGGGCTTATGAGGAGGCACTTGCTGGATCTCACAATTTGCTTGGCAGTCCCAGCGTGGTTCAGGTGTCATCACAAAGTAGCGAGCCGGAGGGGTTTGTAGTGACAATGGCTATGCCAGGGCAGTCTTGCAGAGATGTTCTTCGAACAATGCAACATGAGCCCGAAGTTATCTTCAAGGAGCTTAAGCAACGGATTGAGGAGCTTGGTCAGGTCAATGGCACCGCAGATGGAATGTTGCAGTCTGTTCTGGCAGGCATCTTCAGCAACATGCCTTACCTAACCAGGGGCTCTTCTTGTAGCTGATCTAGTTAATTGCTGTCAGTAGCAATTCTTCGAGTTGATTGTATTGGCATGTATTAACAAGAATCCCTATTATTGTGTGACAATTTCAGGTGCCTGAACAGCTTCTCACTCAAATACCAGGTGAGCTTGAGATTCTAAGGCTACAAATATGGCCGATGACTTTTTTTTTTAAGCAATTAGCTCATTGAATAAACCGGCAATTTATGTTGTATAAAATCATTCCCATTTTACAATCAAAGCATTATGTCTTAATGTTTTACTAGTAAGTGTATGTATTTTTATGCTCAAAAATTAGATTAGAAAATTTTTCTTCTAAATGAAGAAAATTCATACTTGATTTGTCTTCTCATTTTGAATGAGACGGATTTGAAACTTTACTTAAAATATGGACTTAATTCAATTTTATATTTTTATTTAATTAATTGATTTGTTTTGTAATTCTTTTCATAAATATAATTTGTGATGTGTCACAATCATTGACTGGAATTAAAATTTTTAGTTATAGTCATAATCCCGTAAAAGTAATCATTAAATTGTAAAATCACTTTATAATGATTGGTTTGATTATGTCCACATGTCACCAGTATTTGAACATCTATGAATTTAATTTTTAAAAGATTAGGTATTTAAACTCATGAACATTTTTCTTTTTTTTTCAAAGTGCAACTTTGATAATCATAATTTAATTAAATCTATCAATTTATTCTATGATTATTTAATAATAAATTTTTTAAATAATTAAATCATAAAGTGAATTCAATTTTTTCTTAATTCTTTCTCAAATATATTGATAATTTAAAAGTTTAATACTTTATCTGATATGTGGGTTCATAATTTGTACATGGTCGGATCAAACTTAAATGAATTTTATACATAGATCAAAAATTTATATTTTATTAAGTTTCGATCAAAATTATATAAAAATTATTAATTTTCGAAATCAACATTTTACTTCAAGAATGTAAAAATTATTAATAGAGATTATAAAAAAATTAAAATATTATTAATTTTAAATTAATAAAAATAAAATTATTTTTTATTTTTAATAAAAACATTAATAATTGATTAATAACTAAACACGTCATCCCAAAAATATATTTTTTTGAAAAGAGAAAACATAAGGTATATTACTCTAAAATAAACACGTATCGGGTTTCTAAACAGGGAATAAAAGGAAAACCGCGGGTCGGTTCGAGGTCGGAACCAGGAAGAGTATCATATGCGTGTTCAAAAGACAAAGACCAAAGCAGGAAGTAAAACATACTTTAGAATCTACAAAGGTATGCATTAACGATAGTTGGTCAATGGGACATGGACATGTCTTGCTTTAAATATGAAAGATGTGAACGGTCTCAAGTGTGACGAAAAGACCATTCGTTTTTGTGAAAAAGTTTTCGATGGCCTTGAAAAGTTGCCGCTTTGGCGTTTTGCCAAGGAGAGAGAAAAGGGCCATATAGAATACTTATATTTGATGGGGAAAGAAACTCTGTTAGTGTGTTGGTTTGTAGCTAGGTAAGGTTTCCGAGGAAAGGAAATGGAGTCTAACAGGGCTGGTGATCAATCTTCCAGCATCAGTCTCATTGTCATAAGCCAGGTCCATTGCTCTGTCTTTTTATCTGTTTTTCTGATTAATTTGTTGGTGCCGACTATAGATGCGTTGAAGCTTGATGAGACCGTTTACATTTGCCCGAATCAGTTCTGGTCCGCTGGTAACGCTGTGTGATTACGGGAGCAATCGTTTTCACTGAAATGTGTTTGTGGGTCTTCTCTTATTACCAAAGATCAAAAGAACAAAGTCATGCGTGAAATAGGTGATTCTGAATTGGAACATCGAGGTAGGTTCTAGATTCCTGCAGAGATATGAGTTGTCTGGGATTCTAGGATTGGATGTAACCAAATAGAGAAACATAGATTGATTTTGATCCAGAATTATCCAAAATTGGTGCATGCTGTTTATGGATTAAACTTCAGCACGCATAAATCTGGACACTAATAATTCGATTTAACTATCTCTTATTCTCTTTCAATTCATTGCCAATGAGAGGTTTTACACCTCTGTGCCTTTAACATTCATGAAAAGTACTTCTTAAATTTTAGGCTAAGGTTGGCTCCTCAGTAGACTCATTTTATTTCATCGTTGTCCAAAACTTGCTTTGTCTGCTTTTCTGTTCTCCATTATTTTGTGTCTCTTAGAGGATTGGGAGTGGAGCTGGGCCTTGAAATTATATTTTGGGCAACTATGCAAATTTTGGTTCTCTGCAACGATTGGATCATTCTCAAGTACCAAGAGAGCATGGTGAATAGAAATGCAGTAAAGGAATGTCGTCTGCTTTTATTAATGCTATCTTTCCTAATGTTGCAGCGAAATGGTTGGATTTCCAGTTTCTTTTTTTAACTCCTTTGAAGAAGCATGATTTGTAGACAATTCCCTCATGTAATGTTTCTCTCCACCAGTGCTTGTGAATGATAAATAAGTCTTTATTTATTGGATTAATTCAGTTTTTAATTAATCATCACCATATTTGTTTTCTTGTTTAATAGGGATTCAGACTTATTCAGTTTTAACTCTGCCTTCACCTCCCTCCTGGTCCCTCCTTGACCATGCTTTCATACCCTGTTATGATTGTAGGATGGAAATGAAGTGCATGTCAAGATCAGACGTGGCCCCAAAATAAAGAAGCTTTTGACCGCTTACTGCCATCGTCATTTTTTGAATTATAACACTGTTCAATTTTTGATCGGTGGTTGTCCATTTGCTGATAATAAGACTCCAGAAGTTTTTGACAAGTGTATGTTCTGTTGATAAGAATCACATTATAAGAAGTTTAATATATCCTAGTAAAAATTTTCTTTAATATGCCTGCTTCAAAATTTCCATGAGAATTCCCTCTTGATGGTGGTGAAATGTGTATGAAAAAGATCTGCTGACATCTCAAAAATTTAATGAAACATGAATGATTGTCAAAAAAAAAAAAACCTTGAATGTTAAACAAGTTTAAAGAAGTATCCCATCTTAAGAAACTACATAGGTTTCATATTTTCTCTACCTCGTTCTAGTGTTCTGAACCTTAATTTGCTGTACCTAATACACCATAAGTTCCCTGGACTAGGTTTATAGGGGTTCCTCTTTTTATTTCATTCCTCAATTCTCCAGCCAATTCTATAAAGGCTAGTATATTATCTCTTAATCATTAAAATGATCGTTATCAGAGCCATGTTTATTTGCTTTTACCATAACATTTGATCGAAGATTGTTGGGTGCAGCTGGTCTTCCCTTTGGCCTTGAGATTCAGCCTTTCTATTTGCTAATGTTATTGTATTAGCTGGAACTCGTTATATCGTCTTATAGTTGTGTATGTTAGTGTAATTTTCCTTGATGTTGATATGCAGCTTGGATTGGAAGATGGGGGTGAAATGATGCCATGGTGCATGTGGATGGAGGTGGTTATGAGGTTATCTGACACTAAGACTTCTAATGCCAAAGTTTCAAACAACAAATGCTGTACTTGTATGGTAGTGGAATGTTAAATTGTATTTTAATTTAACCAACTCTTTGAGGAGGCTCAGTGCAAGACTAGCCAAGGTAAGATGAGATTACTTCCACAACTTTTTTTTCTATGATTTACTCAAGGTATCGATACTATTAGAAAAAAGAAAAGCCACATCCCATCCGTGAAAGATTTGCTCTTTCATTGTGTCAGCTAGAGAAACCAATGCAAACAATCTTGTTATATTTGGTAGCACTGTTTGCTTAGTTTTATTTCAATGATAATTGATATGAACTTCATCTATGAAACTAGAGATTATTCAAGTAGTCTCATTTAGCTGTATTAATGTGATTGCTTGCTTTTAAATAGTACCGCTAACAATGTGTCTGTTTGCCAAAGCCACTACAAACAAGTTCTTTCCAATAGCCTTATAGCCTAATGTCAAAAATAATGTCTCTTGAGGTTTTAACTGTAATTTATGTGGGAACTAAGTCATAGGACTAAGTCCACGCATAAGGATCATGGGGACTGGCCAAGGGTCTTGTCTAATTGCGTCCCCTGTGATTGCTTGCTGAATACAATAAATTGTTGTTCCCTGGATGAAGTTTGGTGCAACTATGGCTTGAGCTTAAACAACATTTTGCTCTAGGAGAGGGGGCTCTCTCTTGTTGTATCTGAGTTGCCTACTGCATCCCAGATATTTCCTTGGGAAACTGACATTTTATTTTGGATTTCTAACAAGTGAACCTCAATGAAAGCGGTTGAGTTTTGTGATTGGTTGCCTTGGCCAAGACTTTTGTCAACCCATTAACAATTCTGAAGGTTAGATCATACAAATACAACAGGTTGGCTGAAAATACAGCTATGCAGCCAAACAATCATCTGCCTGTTAAATCTGTGTCAGCTCAAAAGCGTCTGCAAAACATGGCTCTTTTATTACACTTGATTTCTCTTTGCCATATCATCATCTATTAGACTATCTACCAAATCCAAAAGTTCTAACCTCCTCATTTCACACATTTTGCAACACTTCTTATCTGTTAGAGCATTAACAAGATCCACCCAATCATCATGTAGCAGTGTCAGCAGAACTTGTTTTTTTTTCCCTCTCCCAAGTGCAATATATCAATGAACTGGGAGAACCAGGAAAAGAGGAAACATGAATTGAGTTCCATCGGTGGTTGTGTTTGCCTAATGAATGGTCAGATGGGATTTTCTTGCTAAATCCATCTGCCAGAAAGTGCAAGAAATTAACCGTCGTGCAGATTGGGAGTGTTGCTGCATCATTCGTGTACCTAGTAAAGATTACAAGGGGGTTATACTTTGTTAGTTACATGTGCTCCTTGAGTGGAGTAGAGAGGGAAGGGAATAGAGAGGAAATAATTATTTCGTACTTTCACTATTTGCCATTTTCAATGAATAGTTTATTCATCCGAATGGCTATTCCCTATCAAAAAAGTGAACCAAACTTTAGTATTACTGTTACTCGTGAAATAAGGGAGAATGTAATACTCTTTCCCTCCAACCAATGTTTGTGCATTTTCAGTAGTAACAGGTTCTTGGAGGATCCAAGATATTCCTTATGACTGCCGTATACTTCTCCAGTTAGGGGTAGTCTTCAAAGGATGTCTTCTCTCTTCATTGGTTAATCAGTGGCAGGGAATAGTTTATAGAATTTTCAATCCTTCCATCGTTTCTGGGAAACGCACCCAAGCATCTCCTTTTAATTAATGGCCATCCTGGAGGCCCTGTTAAAGAATAGATCTACCTAAAACAGAACTGCAACTATTATTTTCTCTTTCAAATTTTATTGCTCGAACTCTATTCTGTGTAATGGTGGAAGCAATGTAGGGTTGTGGGAGCTCCTAGATTTGTCCAAGACATATTTGAAGACTTCATTGTCAGTTCCATTTGGTTTGGACAGTATTGATTAATTTTCAACCGACATAATTCATTTCCCTGTCAAAGGTTAAACAATTACTGACACTGAAAAAAAATTTATAGAAAGAGAAGGATATTGGTCATTCACATTAAGCACAACTTTTTCCATAAGCAAACAGAACTTTCCCAGCAGTTTCATGATACAGTGAAGTTAATCTCTTATTAGCTAAGTCAATTCTCCCAAGTGAGCCTATTCCTTTAGAATTTCTTTTTCACGGACAAGTAAAGATGTCGAAAAAAATCTAAAGGTAGAGTTTCCTATGTATAACAGAAGACAAAAGCCAAGCATCATCAAAGAATGGAAGTTGGTCTAGAATTTATCTCTAAAACTCAATTTTCACATATTTGAGTTTGAACTTAGGACCCCATCACCCTCACGCGTGACATTCAACCATGAAAACCGTCCAAAATAAGAGAAATGATAATTTAAATTATGGCTAGTAGGTCATTCTTGCCAAAGAAAATCTATGTGTTTTTAAGGCTGTAGAGTCCTTACATAGATCATAAGCAGAGAGAATGGTATTTTGCATGCTTGCCATAGAAAATGTTATGCCTTTCGGTGCTGTTCTGTTTTTAAGAGGCAGCTGGGACAAGATTCCCTTTCCGTGCCTGGGTTCTTGTATTGATGATCTTGGGAAGTATGTAGGACATATTATCCGTTTCCATACAACTTTAGCTTGATACACAGGACGAAAGAACAGAAACGGTCGACCTTCTTGCTTTGGCACCATTAGTTCAGAACCCCTTTGAAGCAATTCTCCACCGTTCAACAAAATGTTCCTGGCCCATGAGGGCCTTGAATCTTTCATAGCCTCTGGAAAGAAACTGAAGCTCATTGATTGAGCATATTCTTTTGAAGCATGTCAACAACCCTTTTTAATATTATCTTTCTCAACTTCTCTGTGTAGTCAAGTTATAGTAGTTCTCTCTCAATGTCACTAAGATCTATTTAGCAAACCCAAAATTGAAGGTTTACCTAGATTGTCATCAATCCTCTGAGACTAATTTCTTTTATTCTTTTCTCTTGTGGTAATTAATGAAAGATTATAGGCTAATATTTCTTTTTATTTTTGTGATTGTTTCTCTTTTAGCATCATTCTAATCTTATATGGAACCTTGACTTGTTTTCTATAGATTGATAGTTTTTTTTTCGTTTCTAAAGAGTACAAGTCAAAGTGATAGCTGTGAGCAGAACAAGACATCTTAACCAATCTAAGTACTATGAAGCTTTTACCCTTAAGAGCCTTTCTACTATGATAAAACTTCCTTTGCCAGAAACTCACCTTTGTTGGAAACAGCTTTTCCCAGATACTGTTGGAATAAAAATAAAACTATAGTTTTCTACTTGTCCTTAGCTGTAAGATAAAACTATGTCAAGTACTCCTGTTGTTCCCTTGCATCACATTTAGTTTCCAATTATATTATATAGTTCAATTTAGCTACTCGGCAGCATTAAATTCTGATCACCGTATGATTTTGTTTGTACATGCTCAGGGGACCAAAAATATTCTGCTTCAAACAATTGAGTTTTCTACCGACTGGCAGAGAAAAAAAAATTACGAAGCCCTTCTCATAAATTGTAGGCATTTATTCCAAAGACTATGACATAAGAGAAGACAAAAAAAGATAGAGGAGACAGCATCATTCTGGGGCCATGTGTTTTATTGAGCCGTTCCAATGAATCCCACATGCTTTTGCTCAATACCAACCCTGCATGCATGAAATGCATAAGTTCCAATCGATCAATGCACTCGCTTCACATTTATTTCGGATTTTCGTCTTTTCCTTGAATCTTTAAATCAAAGTCTTCAAGGCGAACTGTTTTGAAAACTTTACTGTCTCGGGCGTCCAGGCAAACTCACATCATGAGTCACCTCATTACATAAAACAGAAGACATGATGGAGGCTGCCTCCTTTAACCAGGATACGTACTTTATTTCTATTGGCTATGGCGAATAATATGTTACACCGGCTCTATCTTTTGGTGACGTATCCGTGTTGGATGCATCAGCATTATTATTTCGGCCGTGTCAGGGTGACAATTCAAGTCTGTATAATTGTCCTAGCATTTGATCGTGACTTCATAAGTGAGAACTGATGTAACACTATTAAACAGCTAGCTAATTAATCCAAGATAGAATGCTATGTGAGCTGAAAATTATCCATTCACCTTTTGTTACTGAAACCGCTACTTGATCAAGTAAAAAGAACACTTGCTGGTAATTTTGTAACTTGATAAATTGAATTTGTCTTTAGTGATAAAAGCAGAGTGCTTGCTGCACACAACAATCTCACAAAGGAATCTCTTGTGCTTCAGTATACCAGTTAGCCTTGTAGATGCTTGTTGAACCAGGTCCAATTGTGGTGAAAAAATCCTTTCCAAGTCTAAAAGTATCTCAAAAACCTTGTTGTATCAATCCCAGAATCCGGTTATGTTAACCTCAGAATCTGTGATTACTCGATAGGGAGCCTGTAATCTGGAGGAGGGAGATTCCAGTTCTTTATTCTTTGCAAGAGATCGTTCAAGTAGCAAAATATTCCATTCCCTTCTCCTCATCGTCATTAAAGCTTGAAGCTATTCATTCTCCGAGACCTTCAGTCTACACTTCATGCAAAGGAAAAAAGGTACATTGCAGAGACAAGTGAAGCAAAAACAATGATTGGAATCAAGGATTTGTACAGTGTTTTGACTGCAGTTGTACCACTTTATGTCACCATGTTCTTGGCTTATGCTTCTGTGAAATGGTGGAACATATTCACTCCAGAACAATGTGCTGGCATCAACAGGTTTGTTGCAATCTTCGCTGTTCCACTTCTCTCCTTCGAGTTTGTTTCTCGGATAAATCCTTACAAAATGGACCTCCTTTTCCTTGCTGCCGATGGAGTCTCAAAAATTTTGATATTGGTGGTTTTGCTTTGTTGGGCTAATTTCTCAAAAACAGGGAGTCTTGACTGGTCCATCACACTTTTCTCACTCTCCACTCTCCCAAACACCCTTGTGATGGGGATTCCCCTCCTCAAATCAATGTATGGGGATGACAAGGAATACCTAATGATTCAAGTTGTGGTATTGCAATGCATAATCTGGTATACTTTATTACTATTTTTGTTTGAATATAGAGAAACAAGAACTTCTGTCTTTAGCAAGTTCAAGGAAAGTAGTTTTAGTTTACCTGAGAGAGAAAAGGAGAATTTTAAGGGAACTGAAGAAAAGCTTGGTGGAAACTGCAGCAGCGAAGATGAAGTCATCAACGTTATTGCCACGACACCATCTAGCCAACAAACAGCTCAAAATGTTAACAAGATTGCACCTGATCAATCTCAACGGTTCAAGCCTATG